GCAGAAAAGGCGTGACCACTACATCCAGATGGGACTCCTTCCATCGCGGATTCCGGGATCGCAAGAAGGAGTTCACTTTGTTGCTTATGATCCTTGTGAGCTATGGCATCCGAGCCGGCTATGTGCTGAACCCAGAAAAGTTGACGTTGCAAGAAATGAAGAAAGTGTCAACGTCAGTGGGGGCAGCTGAAGCCGAGACCTTGAAGGATGCCAAAAAGAAGAAATCCTTCTTGTATGATTCCTGCCGGAACAAGCTGCACGTGGCTACAGTTTGCATGGGGAATCAAAGTCTCATGGAAGACTTGCGTGTCTGGTATTGGTGTTCCAAGCCCATTGCCGACCAGCTGAACTCCCTGCGCCAACAGTTGCACGGCCGTACAGAGCCAAGAAACCACATGAAAGATGCGGCCATTGGCGGCTGCAGCCTTCAAGTGGTTGAGGCTCTCCTGACTGTTCCGGCACAAACCGAAGTGCTGGAGGACCTGGGCTTCTCCTTGAAACACAACACAGCAGGTGCTGTAAGATGCAAGAAGGTGGATGTGGAGGCCCCGCACGTCTTCGTGGAGGACGTGCTCATGCAGAAAGTGGTGAAGACACTGCTGTGCTTGGTTCATTTCAAACTCTTCAATCTGAGCTTGTCCATGTACTCTTATCCGGCAAGGTTTGCCGCTCTCTTGGACGATGATGAGCATCGGCGAGAATGTTTGTTGGAGATGCAGAGTTTGGATGAGGCATTTGAGGAAGTTCAGAACCTCAAGAACAAAGGATGGCGCACAGTGTGCCACCGTAGCCCTCTGAGGCTGACGGTTGTTCGGGAAGTGTTTGCACATCTCAAGCAGTCAGCCTGGAAAGTCAGCGAGGACTTGTGTCTGTTCCTGCAGCAGTCTTGCATGCACTTTGGCGCAACTTACAACGAGGAGGCTTTCGGAGAAATGCGGGTGGCCGAAAAGACGGACGGCAAAGCTGCCAAAATGTCGAGCATCGAGGTGTGGAGCACCGCAAGCCGGGGTGGCATCATGAAGCGTTTTGGTTACCGTGAAGTTGACGCTCCGGCAGCGGACTTGGCGCCCAGCATTCCGGACAGTCTTTTTCACACTCAGCTGAAACAGCCCAGCATGCCCAAGATGTGCGAGCTGACCGGCAGGGGAACTCCGTGGCCCACACTACAGCCGCTGGTTGCTCCTACTGTGGCAGCAGAGTTGTGGACCATGGTGACTCTGCGGAAGGCTGGGAAGCTTGACCAGCTGACGGCCAGCTGGCGGACACAGTTCCTGCTGAGCGGGCTGATTGTCAAGCAGGAGGGCCAGAAGGATTGGTTCATGTCCACTGGACCTTGGCCCAAAGGATCGGCGACTTTGCTGCTCCCAATGCAAAGAAAGGAACTGAAGAAAGGCCTCTATGCATTTGGCCTGAAGCCCAACCTCAGCAGGGGATGCTTGCGATGGGCCAGCGTCTTCCAGTTTGACACCTGGGAGGTGGCTCAGACAAAGGTGGTGTCTCCAATACATTTCGGGGTGCTACTCGCGAAGGGCAGCAGCTTGAATATTCCTGATGAGAACCTGTTCTTTTGGCTGGAAACAGACAAGCCCCGGCCTTTGCTTCAACATTGTGCACACAACGCATTCTTTGACATTTCTGCTGATATCCTCGAGTTGCTTCTCCAGGCCCCCATCTGTGCTCTGGTTGTTGATGTCGGTTTCCCGGGTTTGTTTATTAATGCTTTGGAATATACCCAGCAAGTAGGCTTAGGGCTTAGGACATGTCTTTTTCAATGTCGTACCGCAGGAGGAATTTGGTCAGAACCTGGAAGCCACGACAGGCGAAGATCTGTTGGGCGAGGTGCTCGCGCCTTGCATCCAGGAATCCTTGGGCATCACTCCGAAGGAAGTCGCCAACATTCTGGAAGACAACCTCCATCAGCGGGAAGCTGATGAGTCAGAGGTTGTGGATCTCTTGGAGAACGAAATGGTTCGTGAGAATTTTTCCAAAGAAGAGGAACAAATGCGAAATGATTTCTTGAAGAGCGTTGCGGTGAAGCAAGCGGCACAAACAAGTGTCACTCGAAAAATCCGGAAGCTCCGCAATCCAGACGGGGCTGAGGCTCCGAAAATCAAGCGGAAGAAAGTCCGGTACGAGCCGGACTATGCATGGACCGAAGCTGCTGCTCAGGAGATGGCGCCGGCCAAATACAGACTGCACAGGGACCGCTTTAACAAGTGCTGGCGACTCAGAAAGGGCTCTTGGAGTCTCAGCAAAAGCTGGGGCCCTTCCGGGAAAGATGCCTCCTGCCTGGTGTTCCTTCTCACCCGTGCTTGGGAACGTCACTGTTCCCTGAACCCGCTGGTTGCAAATCCATATGATTTCGAGGAAGTCTTCCGAGCTTGAATGGAGCGGGTGCCTAATCATGTATTGCTTGGAGTAGCCGGGTAGCTTAAACTTTACACTTTAAGAATGCCACATACCCGAATCACCCAAATTAGTGGAGAGGCCATTCACTCGGTACTTTCGCAGCAGCAGCCGCTCAGCAGCTACCATGTCTGTACAGCATCGGACTTCCAGTTCGTGGAGTTGAATAAAGCGCAGCACGTCCTTGACTGCATAGTCCGGTGGCACACAGAGACATGTGAAATATGACTTCCAATCCGCCGCAGGTACATTCAACGGGCAACGGCCGGGAGCTCATGCTTGACAGGTCGTTTGCGAGTTCTGCCACTTCAGCTCATTGGTGACAGGTCGTTTCTGAATTGCGCTTTGCCACATGTTGTCTTGGAAACGTGTTTGCATTCCCGAGCTTGGCCCTTTCCTCACTGAAGCGAGGTAGCTTTTCCGCTGCTGTAGTGCCATCGACACTATGGCGGGCAAGAAGGGTCAAGGGAACGGTCCTGCCACTCGTGCTCGTGGGAAGAGGGCAGCGTCGGCCCAGGATAAAACAGAGCAGCTCCGGGACAAGTTCGCGAAGATCACCAAAAGCCAGGCGGAAGACTTGAAGAGCCGGGACTTGGATAAGCTTACCGAATGGCTGGGAGAGCATCCGAGGGCTGCAGACTTTATCTGGAAATCCGTCGAGGCGGAAGCTTACGACTACCTGGATTCGGGCGACACCAGTGGGACCGCAGAGGAGGAGGTTCTGCCTGCGTGGCAGAATAAGGTCTCCTTGCTTCATCCCGACAAGTTTGTCAAGCCATTGCTCCAGGAGCTTTTGCCTCACTTGGCAGAGTTTTTTGGCCGCCTCAAGAGGGTCAAAAAGTCGCAGTGGGCCGATGTGCTCGGCTTCGTGGCCAACGTGG